GTTCTTCACCCAGTGCAGAGTTTGCAAACAGAAGCAAACTTGTGCTGAATGTTTTTGTTTGTGAACTGAATTAGCTGCTAGTCAGAGTGCTGGTGAACTGAAGTGTTACTGTGCTTAACACTGATGTTGAAATAACTGTGTTCTTACCATATGACCCAGATCTGTAAGGTAGTCCTTAAGTATTTCACACCCAACAGGTCTGCAAATCTTCCCCTTTTATCCTAGAGTAATGAAAGTAGGGGAGAGAATACATTTACCAGGTTAGAGACAGGCGGATATTTCTGCAATATTGTAGATTACAGTAAACAACAATAAACCAGGTGTGGTGGCACATGCCTGTAATCCCAGCACTCCGAGAGGCTGAGGCAGGAGCATCGCAAGTCTGAGCACCTCAGCACTTCAAAAAAGTAAGCAGCTCAGGGCAAAGGCTCTGGGTCCTGTCCTGTGTCACCACAAGAAAAAGAACAGGAAAAGAAAGCTGGGCATGGTAGCATACGCCTATAATCCCAGCACTTGGGAGACTGAGGCAGGAGAATTGCTCCAAATTTGAAGGCCAGATGGAACTACATAGTAAGATACTGTCTCAAATCCCCTGTGCCCCCAAAAAGTAAGCAAGTAAACAAAGCAAGAATACGTAACACAGGGCCAGCCAAATGGCTCAGTGGATTAAAGTGCCTGCAAGCAGGCTCAGGGGCTGGGGGTTCAATTCCCATGCCTGCTGTGCCAGCCCCACCTCCGGGACACGCTGAGATGGCAATTGAGACTAAGCGTGGTGGCACACACCTGTAGTCCCAGCTCTTGGGAGGCTGTAAACAGGCGGATCACTATGAGTCAGATCTAGTAGTGAGACCCTGAACACCCTGTAGACCTTCCCTAAAATACATTAAAAATAATAATAATAAAGAATACATAAGGTAGCAGGACAGAGGGAAAATAACCACTCCATTTCCACTGCACACCTGACCCAACTCGGTGTATAACTTCCCTCCACATATTCATCTCAGCCACTCTTTGGCCACGGGGCAGAACTCAGTGGACTTAGGATCTGACCCTGCCCACTTCTCCCTCCTCACCATGCTGCCCAGGGCAAGGAAGGGAAGAGACACTGTAGAAAGCAAGACTTGGATAGGGCCAGCCACATGGCTCAGCGGATTAAAGCTCCTGCTTCGGCAGGCTCAGGGACCAGGGTTCTATCCCCTGCGTGCCATGCCAGCCCCACTCCCGGGGCACACTGAGACAGTGATTAAGACTAGACGTGGCAGTGCACGCCTGTAATCCCAGCACTTGGGAGACGAAAAACAGGAGAATCACTACGCGTCCAATCTGTGTAGTGAGACCCCATAGACCCTGTACTAAATACAAAAAAGAGACAGACAGACAGACAGACAGAGAGACTGACTCGGAAAACAGAAGGGGGGTTCATTTCAATTAACATTAAAAGAAAGGCTCACATGTAAAGACAATAATAAAGCCTGTGTATGAGAACAGCGAGTTTGAAGGGCAAATACAGTGCAAGTTCCCGCATCTCTGAAGTTAGCAAGACTTCTAAGCTGTGGCTGGAGCCTACTCAGTACTTAAAATAAATAAATCAGTAAGGATGGGTAACCTAAGACTGTGTGGTGATACATTTTTTATGGAAAGCTCACAATGTTCTGGAAGCTGCACACTTGAAAACCTGCTCTTCTCCCAAGAGTCACAGGCCTTCCAGAGAGACCAGGAGGGACCCGCGGAGTTCTGGGCTTCGTTGTCTTAACAC